CGGAGCCTGGAGCCTGGTTTGGATTCTGTGTCTCCTTCTCTCTCTGCCCCTCCCCCACTTGCACTCTGCCTCTCTGTGCCTCTCAAAAATGAATAACCGTTTAAAAAATTAAAAAAAAAATTGTAATGTTAAAGACAGTATTTATTTTATTGTGAAAAAAAATCAATAACATCTGGTTGATTTTCTGTTTTTAGAGATAATGTAAGATTTAAGCACAGAGAGTTAAAAGTTTCTTGTTCAAGATGACTCCAATTCTGCAGCACATCTGGGACTAAAATCTGCATTCCCTCATTCCCGCTCCTTCCTCTACAATACGTAGATATTTTTAATATAACTAAATCCAAAACATTGTGAAAAGGCACTGACAGAGAGGAAACAAAGAGCACGCTGTGGTTAAAACCGAAGAGGAACAGCCAGTATGGGAGCTTTTCAGATACACTCAGACTGTGTTCTTACATGTTTGACATGCAGAGTAATTTGGGGAGTTCAAATAGTTAAAAAAAATTCTTCCTCCTATTTATTTGACCTAAATATATTTTATGCAGGATAGGATATGATCAAAGATTTAGAGGGTGAATGGATGGCAATTACGGTAAGGATGAAGGCCTTTATAACTTAAGAAAACCTGTCCACCCCACTAGGGTTGGTTAAAACTATGCAGATCGCTTTTCGAAAAGGCAGTTTCAAATTCCTATTCGCAGAGTATACAAACGTAAAATCCTCCATCTGGCGAAGCTCTACAGAAAGCATCTAATCACAGGAATGAGTTTAAAAGTAAGTTGAGCCTGATTGAAAAAAAAAAACACATTTAGACTGGTTACGAGCTCTTTAGAGACATTTTTGTTAAATCTTAGTCATATCCAATGACAAGCATCACATTTGAAAAGAATGAACAAAAGTGGTATTTCCAGAGTGACTTTTTTTGGTGTAAGTTTTAAGAGGCCTTGATTTAAAGTACTAATTTTCTAGGTGGTGCTAATGATTCAATATTTATTATCTTTCTTTTTACCACTAGATTAGAAAAAATGAAGGGAATAACATCAATTTACAAAGGCCCCTAACTTGATCAACAGGAATTTACTTCTGAAATAAACTCCCTCTAATTAAAGAAAATCCTTTCCATTTAAAATGTAATCAATTTATTACTATAGAAAACTTTTAAGAACTGTGAGAAGAAATTAAGAAGGCATCGGATTTCTCTATCTACAAATAACTAACGGGAATATCTTTACGTATTTCTTTTCACTGTTTTTTTTTTTTTTTTTTTTTTTTTTTTTTTTTTTTTTTTCTGCAGAGCTCTATTGTTGTCTATTATAGGGCTGTAATCATAAAGCAACTGTGATTTATGTTGATTTCTACCTTAATATTAGGGCTGAAGTGTATACTTTTATTTTTAAAAACTCATAAGCAGTAGTTTCACAAAGAGTAGGTCATTGTATGTGCCTACTGTGGAGAGTACCCACTAATCCATGGCAGACACCAACACACGCACACTTACGCACACACACACACACAGACAGATGAAGAAGTGTGGCAACTGTGCACAAAA